GGTGATTTTTCCTTCAGGAATGCCTGCAGGATTTTTTTGTAAGGGGAAATTCGGACATACTACATCCGCCAAGTTGTTACAGTCACATGACCTATCTGCGTCAGTTGTGTTGCTTCACTTACATCAAAGTCCCTTTAAGGCATTTAAGGTATTCTATAGTCTTTGCTTACATTCATAAATAATTTCCTGTGGCCTCATAGTAAAGTGTCCATCGTATGTGCACTTCAGAATGCTGGCAGAAGAAGTAGGTCACCCGGGTACTTTTCACCTACTATTTTTCGAATACTATGAATTCGGACATACTACTCACCTCATACTGTTTTTCGCATAGCGAGTGAAGGGACGTATGACTGACTGTGTGATGTCAGATCAAGGGTCTCTCCCTTCAGGGTGACACACTCACTCAGTTAAAGATGGATGTGCAGTGACCACACAACCCTGCGCTGCTTGGACGAATAGCACTGAATATGTATAATGAACAACAATGCAAGTGCTAATATTTAGCATTCATGCACTGCACAGACCTAAGCCTGCTTTCCTTAATGAGATGCTGTCATAAGAATCACATGGGTTTAAACAAACAAGTAGGCTACCATATGCAGTAAGTAACACAAACCAGTCTGACAAATCTGGTTCAAATATGATCTCACACACAAACCTGTGAAACTAATGGCATATGTTCAACATCACTGAAGTTATCTGTTGTAATAGGGATGAGTTACCACGTGCCCTACCAATTCTCCTATTACCCATTTCTACTTCTTTTCCACCTGTGCTGGGTCACATTAAGCAGTTCTTTTTCCTGGGCAAAGGGTTCATCACAGGGTGAGCTGTCTGTCCAGCAACCTACTCAGATTTATCTACTATTTGGCTAACCTTGCACTGAACTCACCCTCTGAGATTTGAGCTGACTTCTCCAACACACATGCACTCCATGACACAGTTTCATGTCCTGATCCCACTCTCAACAGTGTCCATCATTGCTGTTAGACATGCCAAGACTCATTCTTCAGTTGTGTTTTTGGTGATTATTCCCCCAGCCCCACAGCGTACATTATTTATGTTATATAGTTTATCAGAAAGTAACTTTTCCTTTCAGCCACAAAATAACAGCTGAGTGTAGAATGAAGAATGTGATGTGAATGTACAGCGCTCTCTCCACCTTCAATACCACGACTGAGGTGCCCTTGAGCAAGGCACCGAACCCCCAACTGCTCCCCGGGCGCCGCAGCAAAAAATAAAATGGCTCCGGGTGTGTGTGTGTTCACTGCTGTGTGTGTGCACTTTGGATGGGATAAATGCAGAGCACTAATTCCGAGTATGGGTCACCATACTCAGCAAAATAACACCATACTTGGCCACATGTCACGTCACTTACGTAATTGCAATAGCTGCTTCGTGCCTGTTGTATGTCAGTTTCAGTCCCCAGTGTACTTTAATAACACTCTATTGTCTTCTAATACTGCAGCAGGGATGCACCGCATGGAAAGAATTTGAGGGAGAGATGCCGAAAAAAAACAAAACATCTGCCTGTAGATGGCTACAGGTTACACAGTCTTAGATCTCGCATCCAATTTGGCAAATTGAGGTGTAGGGGAAAATTGTCAACAGGCACTTTATTACCTACCCATCTGTTTGGAGCGATACAGCTGTATCGACAGTGAACATCAGCCGTTCAGCTAGGTATGATTGACAAAGTTGAATAAAATGACAAGTTCTAAATTCGTCTATTAGCCTTCCAGTGGCTGACCCCTCTCCACATTATTTATGTTATATAGTTTATCAGAAAGTAACTTTTCCTTTCAGCCACAAAATAACAGCTGAGTGTAGAATGAAGAATGTGATGTGAATGTACAGCGCTCTCTCCACCTTCAATACCACGACTGAGGTGCCCTTGAGCAAGGCACCGAACCCCCAACTGCTCCCCGGGCGCCGCAGCAAAAAATAAAATGGCTCCGGGTGTGTGTGTGTTCACTGCTGTGTGTGTGCACTTTGGATGGGATAAATGCAGAGCACTAATTCCGAGTATGGGTCACCATACTCAGCAAAATAACACCATACTTGGCCACATGTCACGTCACTTACGTAATTGCAATAGCTGCTTCGTGCCTGTTGTATGTCAGTTTCAGTCCCCAGTGTACTTTAATAACACTCTATTGTCTTCTAATACTGCAGCAGGGATGCACCGCATGGAAAGAATTTGAGGGAGAGATGCCGAAAAAAAACAAAACATCTGCCTGTAGATGGCTACAGGTTACACAGTCTTAGATCTCGCATCCAATTTGGCAAATTGAGGTGTAGGGGAAAATTGTCAACAGGCACTTTATTACCTACCCATCTGTTTGGAGCGATACAGCTGTATCGACAGTGAACATCAGCCGTTCAGCTAGGTGTGATTGACAAAGTTGAATAAAATGTTCTAAATTCGTCTATTAGCCTTCCAGTGGCTGACCCCTCTCCAGTGTGCTTTCCTGTTTAGCAGAGTTAGTGTTATGACAACCCTGCTTAGTGTACAATGAGCTCACGATTGGAGGAATGCTGACCATGAAATGCCTGTAAGTTTTGGCAGAGACAGAACAAGCACATTGCCAGGGACCAACACTTCCCTGTTTTCAAACCAACATGAACACCCACAAAATAACACTCACCAGGGTTTTTTAAGCTCAAATACTATTTATTTGAAGTTGACAGTAATATGAAGATAGACATGCTGGAATAACTTTAAACAAGTCCCATACGGCAAAAAAATATATAAATTTTTTGTGGCCAAAATATATTTCAAATATATGTGGTAAACAGTACAGCTTAGGTAAATAATATATTTTTCAAATTCAAAATATATTTAGTTTAAACCAAAATATATTACAAAATATACTTTAAGGAGAAAGAACATACACTTCCAATCTTAAAATAAATTGAGTAAATGCAAAAAGGTATTTTTTAAATATATGTTTTGGACAGTATTAAAGGCACAATATGTACGATTTTTTTATTAAAATATCCAAAAACCACTAGAACAGTGTTATATATTTTGCTGACTTGTGTACTTACATTATCCCAAATGTTTCGAAGAATGTTTAAATCCAGAGAAATAAGCAATTTTATCTAGTGACACGGAGCGTGTTCATAGTCATTGTGTCGCCTGCAAATGACGTCATAACACCTCGATTTCTGGTTTTGTTTTGTAGAAAACGTGGAAACACCAAAGACGCTTTAATATGTTGTGCGTTTTAATAGACCGGTGACGACCGCACAGAATAGCATTATAACATAACTTTCAAATGTATCTAGTATGGTAAAACAGCGCTGCTTTACTCCACATACACACGACCGGAAGGAGCGGAAGTGGTCGACTGTGGCATAATAAAAGCTCCGCTGCTTTCGAGCCGTGTGTCACGCTCATTCAGCGGCCTCGTTTCGCTTCATTCGCTCACCCTGCTTCATAATACTACATTAATAAATCATTAGCACTGTAGCCAAATTCCTTGACACGTCTGTGTGTGGTGGCTCTTGATGCCTTGACCCCAGCCTCAGTCCATTCCTTGTGAAGTTCACTCAAATTCTTGAATCGATTTTGCTTGACAATCCTCATAAGGCTGCGGTTCTCTCGGTTGGTTGTGCATCTTTTTCTTCCACACTTTTTCCTTCCACTCAACTTTCTGTTAACATGCTTGGATACAGCACTCTGTGATCAGCCAGCTTCTTTGGCAATGAATGTTTGTGGCTTACCCTCCTTGTGAAGGGTGTCAATGATTGTCTTCTGGACAACTGTCAGATCAGCAGTCTTCCCCATGATTGTGTAGCCTAGTGAACCAAACTGAGAGACCATTTTGAAGGCTCAGGAAACCTTTGCAGGTGTTTTGAGTTGATTAGCTGATTGGCACGTCACCATATTCTAATTTGTTGAGATAGTGAATTGGTGGGTTTTTGTTAAATGTGAGCCAAAATCATCACAATTAAAAGAACCAAAGACTTAAACTACTTCAGTCTGTGTGCATTGAATTTATTTAATACACGAGTTTCACAGTTTGAGTTGAATTGCTGAAATAAATGAACTTTTCCATGACATTCTAATTTATTGAGATGCACCTGTACATATCGTGCCTTTAATACATTTAGACTGCAATATAAAAAATGGGCAAAATATAAATGAGAAAATAACTAAAACTTACAGAAATTTTATGTTTATGTAAATATATTTTAACATCTATATTAGCAACTTTAAAAATATAAATATTTGAAAAAATATATATACATTTGCCATATGTGGTTGAAGACTTTGACTTTTGTTTTTGTGACAATACTGTTCTTAAAATCAGTGAAAATCAATAAAACTCCCAAGTCACACCTTACAAGGGCAAAATAGCCCTGATGAAAACCTCAGAGCATTCTAAGAACCATTATTAACTGTAACAGTCTGTGCTCCTTGCTATCACAATATCCAAGGAACACGTTCACCTACATGCCTGTGTGCAGTCCAGTATAGGGCAAACTTGCAGACATAATAGTTCCTGGGAAAACAAGCCATCTTGACACGCTGTTTCCTCTGACCCTTTCACAGTTTTTTTTTTTTTTTTGTCCACAAAGCAACAGATTGATGTTCCTGGATGTAGTGCTTGCTTTGCATGAAAAGTTTTGAGGATTTTTCACAGTCAAGCTGTTTCTGAGTTTAAGTCTGCCCTTTGAATGTGTTCATGCAGGTGTAGCTTCCTGAAAACTTATGGATCTCTTCCAGGGCAGACTGGGGCAAAAGGCTGTGAAGAAATCAAGAAGTTATGTGCAGCCAATTGAAATATGTAATATGTAATATATAAAATAATGAATAATAATATATTGTTTATATGACAAACGTATATTCTGCTCGGATTCCTTCAGCAGTGATAGTCTCACCTCTTAAGAATGACAAGAAAGTGCATGGTCCATGGCAGGACAACGAAGGCAGTGTTGGTCCTTACAGCATCCACAGTGCGTTTGGCCACCATCTCAGGATTCAGAGGAGGAAACAGCTTAGGGAACCTAAAAGATGAATTCATTGAATGATGGACCATTTTAATTCCAACTAGGTCTTCTTCGTGTGTATCAGCACCAGCAGCTCATTACCTAACTCTCATGCCCTGGAACATCTCTGTGTCTGTATGGAAGGGAAGCACCGTGGTGCAGCCCACACCTGGACAGTCTAGCAGGCCTAGTGTCAGGCTTTCCATGAAGGCATAAGACGAGGCCTTGGACGTGCAGTAGTCGATGGCTCCAGGGATGGAGGAGAGGGAGAGAATGGAGTTAATGCACACCATGTGGCCGTTGCAGAGCTCCAGCATGCGAGGCAGAAATGCTTTCGTGGTCTGTGGGGGAGACAGACACAATTACACATTGTTCTGTTCCCTCAACCATCTGGAAAATCCAACAATAACAATGAAAGCTTCAGAACTTCGGGGTCGAGAATGTGTTAATTGTCTAGTATTCTCTAGGCTACCTTTGGGTGAAAGTCAACAAGCATATTTGACCGGCTCAGCAGAAATTTTAGCCCACATTCAGTGTTTGATTTCGAGTCAGATGATGGCTCCTCTGCAAAACTCTATATAAAACTGGCATTCCGAAAACGCCATGTGTTTGAAATCAGAGCAACAATATATTACAGCAATCCTCAGTGTGAGCTACTACTGCAGCTGAAGTCTCAGATGATCAGCTCTTGTTCTCATTGACTATGAATGCGTCCTAAAAAGCATGGCTGTGTAGCCTAGATCTTCCAAGCAGTCCATTTTCTTCGAAACGCTTAACTTTAACTATTCCACAAGTTCTTTTAGGACCATTCGCTTTTGTTTGAGAATCTCTTTTGAATTTTTTATCTCTGACTGTTCTATGTGAGGAATGTGGTGTTACTTTTTCACTCTTGGCAAAAACATGCTTAAATGCTGAGGAACACTTCCAAGAATTACAGCATGCCAAGTGACTTAACATTAAGTAACTGAAAAATGTTCTGCAAAACACAAAGGAGTATCTAGAGTTCATGTTAGGTTCAAAGCATGGTTACTGTAGTAAGGCTGCGCTATAATAAATTGGCAGTCATGCGAGCAGTGAGTAAGTTAATATATTGATTAGTCTCTTACCCAGAACTGTCCAAGTGTGTTTATGTGCTGGGTTTTCAGGAGTGCGTCATCATCGCTGTCCATCAGACTTTTTCCATGGACAACAGCTGCATTATTGACAAGAATGGTGACATCCCCGACCTGCATGAGACCACATTGCATCCATTTAGAATAAACTTTACTGTGTGGAGAAGTAAAATGTTATTATTATTAGGAAAAGAAAAGATACAATAATAGATACCAAAGTAAAAATTATAATAATAATGATATACAAATATAATATAATTTAAAATATGTTTTTATAATATAAATTGTTAAATAACAATATACAATGTTTAATTTAGGAGACAAAATTGTACCTCAATAGATACCAAAGCAAAGAAAAATATAGTAAAATAATTTGAAAAATAAAATAAAACAAAAAATATTATGTAAATAAGGCAATTGTTTCAATTAGGAAAAAACATTTTCCCAAACCGATACCAAAGCACAGAAAAATATAATAAAATAATGTAAAAATAAAACATAAAAATAATAGCAATATAATGTAAATAAATATAATAATATAATAGAATATAATAAAATAATGTAAAAATAAAATAAAACAAAAATAATAGCAATATAATGTAAATAAATATAATAATATAATAGAAAATAATATAAATAATCCATTTGTTTAATTTAGAAAACAACATGAACAGGGGTCACTCACAAGAAAGCACTATATATATGACCCTGGACCACAAAACCAGTCATAAGGGTAAATTTTTTTAAATTGAGATTTATACATAATCTGAAAGCTGAATAAATAAGCTTTCCATTGATGTATGGTTTGTTAGGATAGGATAGTTTGTCTCGGATATTTGGCCGAGATACAGCTATTTGAAAATCTGGAATCTGAGGGTGCAATACTGAGTTGTCCAAATGAAGTTCTTAGCAATGCATATTACTAATCAAAAATTAAGTTTTGATATATTTACGGTAGGAAATTTACAAAATATCTTCATGGAACATGATCTTTACTTAATATCCTAATGATTTTTGGCATAAAAGAAAAATCGATAATTTTGACCCATACAATGTTTTTTTGGCTATTGCTACAAATATACACAAGCGACTTAAGACTGGTTTTGTGGTCCAGGGTCACATATGGGAGTCTTCGGCATTAAAAGACTTGAAAATCCCTAGCCTAGACCCTAGTGGCCACAATGGGGGTGCTAGAGAGCACCCAATCTGAAACCCAAAATGACAAATGAGACACCCGACAGTCTTGTGGATGGATATACCCAAGCAAAGGCCACAAGACTAGCTGTTTGAGACAGGGTCACTCTCTGTGAAGTCCTTTTGACTACAATATCTTTTGAGGTCTCTTGAGACAAAGCATGCAGAGTGTAATTATACCTTTTCCCTGAGCACTTTGGCTTGCTGGTACACCTCCTCTCTGTTGCCCACGTCGCACACAAAGTAATGGCACTCTGTTCCGGTCATAGAGATCTCCTCACATGTCTCCTTTAAACATTTCTCTGTGCGGCCCCACAAAATCACCTGTGGGAGAAAAGTCATGATGGGTGTAAAGTAAATGCAGAACATCATGTACACTTTGATGTATAGGTGGAGTTCTCTAAGGAGTTACTGAATTAAGTATTTCCTTATAATTGTACACAAGGTTTAGTGAGAGCAAGTGAGAGTGATAGAGGACAGGGTCAGGCTGTGTAGGTCGGTTAACTCTCTGACTATTAGATCCATCACTCAGCAAGGTCAGCGAGAGGTAATGGACACAAGAATGAGTCCACCCCCTCCCCATCCTGTCAATCTCAATCCACCTCATAAACAAACATACACACATAAAACAGTCACATGTTCTGACCTTCTGAGGAACCCTTCAGTATCTATTCAAGGCTTCTCAAGGGAGAGCATTAGCGTGGGGGAATCTCACAAAACCTGTCAAGAACATGTCCGGGTCACCCAATGTTTTTTGTTTTTTTTTGCATTGTGACAGTACATTCCCCACTTATTCTCACTGTAAAATAAAATATTTCTGCACATTTTAATTGTATTACAGTATTTAAAAAATAAAATAAAAGCTCCTGGTAACCCTACATAGGACAAGTGGTTTGGAAAATAAAATAAAATGACATACTGCCTGACTCATGTCCCACCAATGTCACAAACAGCACATGGTGAGTGTCCCATTATCAGTAAAAGTTCAAGCTACAGAGAGACAACGGGAGACATGGGCAGGGGCAGCCTAACACCCCCTCATTAGTGCTGGCCCAGAGGGGTCAGGCATGGGCCAAAGCCCAGCTGGGAGTATGGGAGTGCCAGCCTCTATTCACCTTTACCTTCCCACCTTTATACCTCATGTTTTATCATTTACATAAACTTTGTAGTTTATGTAATCAATATTTGATCAATATTTAAGTGGCCTAACTTGTGTCTACTTGACTTGACTTTCATACACAGCCTTGGCTCCATTGGCTTTCCATTTGATTCTGTTCTTCTGGGATTCAGCCGTAAGCAGCCCACACAATAACACAAATGACATCATCAGCCCTGCTCTGCAAAAGCTGGCTGACCTGCCCATGAACTTGGTTGTGGTAATCAATCTGCAAGGTGCTTCTCTGCCTACTACACCCCCTTGCAATTGATCCATTCACACACCTACACATGTTGGGCACACATTCACACACATGAATGCAGCACATGCACATTCACTCCCTCACACGCACGCATGCTATTAAAGTAGTGCAGCTATTCCTGACACTTGATGCTTGTGCTTTAGTGTTACCGAGGGTTTACTCTATTCTTGGGAGGAGCAATAAAAAAAAAGTTTAAATCCGTTTTGTGTTCATTAACAATAAACATAACAAATAAGATGATTTGTGACGATTCATCCTGGATGTTTTTTTCCTCTCGCTAGGGAAGTATGAACTGCCCTGGAAGGTTAAAGAGTCACACATGATTTGAGTTAAACAAAACAGCCTTGCCTGTCAGCAGCCCATTGTTGGGCATTTGTAAAGACATAAAGGCTTAGGAAACACCTGTGTTTGTGTGCAGGAGGAATATGAAACAGAACTCAGATGAGGGCAGCAACAGGTCACTATACCTTCTGTTGACTGCGCTGACTGGAAAACCACACTGTGCCCCATCAGGACAAACTCGACCATTTCAAAGTATAGATAGCCAAAAAAGGTGTGTTTACTGCAGTGCGAATAAATCAGGTAAACACAACCCTTACTAGTTCTGCTTGATTGTCAAAAATGCTGAAATAATAAACAAACCGATCAATTTTAAAGCAGAAAAATGTCCTACTCACAACTTTCTTACAGGCACATTGATCTGAGCTGATTCCTTTTCTATTTCTCTTTCTTACTTTATAACTTATGAGTGAGTATTGTAGGAGTGCTGTCAATTTTTTTTTTATATCTTATTTAATCCATGTCAGCAACTGAGCAGTTTTGATAGTGATATTACTACCACCAGGGCGTATTTTCACCTGTCGCCAAATACCTGTAGACGCTAACGAACAGATGAGGTAACCATAACAACGGTACGCCGTTACGGGGTTACATTGATAAAATATGACAAGTAGCCTTATACGTTTAATTTTATTATATGTCTAAATATCACAAATATATCTTTAGTGTTCTGTAAAAAAAAAAGTCTTGTAGAAAACTACGTTTAGCTAATCGTGTTAGTGGCGCCAAATTACAATTTGCTTTGCGCGACACTGCTTGCGCAGATTCCTTTGAAGTAGGCAGTACTTGATCAAGACTGAAATAGACAGCACTTTTTTAATTACAAAGAGCATGTGAGGAGATAACATCTTCAAGAATAGCATTACACCGAATAAAAACTCTAAAGCAGCCTTACCTTTCTTGCTCCTTGCTCGGCAAACTCCTTAGCCAGGTGACGGCCGATTCCTCTTCCACCTCCAGTGATGAGGACCACATCAGTGCCCAGACCTCTGCGCTTCTGGCGCGTAAAGAAGCGCACGATCGCCCTCAGTAAGCATAAGAAGATCTGGAGAGGAAAAAGCAACGCGCATCCCAGCACCTTCATCTCCATCATGACTTTCAAATAGTCCAATCTTTCTATCGAGTTTGTGGAATAAAACAAGCTCGTAAGAAGGGAGTGTGTTTGTAACTTGTCAGCTGTCAAAAGGCACGCTGAAGTTCTCTGGGTAACTGGAAATGCGTCCTGCTCTCCTGATCTGTAAGAAGAAAGTCCCTTATGTACCAGCAAGTCTAACAAAGCAGGTCCATCAGCGTGCCAAATGTCATACCTACCT